TGAGATGATGTGAGGTGACGTGACTTGGCGTGACTTAGCGTGACTTGACGTGACTTAGCGTGACTTGACGTAACTTGACGTGACGACGTGTCTTGGCGTAACTCGGCGTGACAAGATGTGACTTTTCGTGACTTTGCGAGACTTGGCGTGACTTTGCGTGACTTGACTTAACTTGACGTGTCTTGTCGTTACTCGGCGTGACATGATGTGACTTGACGTGACTTTGCGTGACTTGACGTGATTTGACGTGACTTGACGTGACTTGAGGTTTCTTGGCGTGACTTGACGTAAATTGACGTTTGGCGAGGCGAGGCAATGTTAAACTAGGCTAGGCTGGGGTAGAATACGTTAGGTTACATTATGTTAGGTTAGGTTAGGTTAGGTTGAGTTAGGTTAAGCTAGGTTAGGTTAAGTTAGGTTAGGGTAGGTTAGGTTAGGTTAGGTTTGCGCAGTAGATTTGTGCGCATCCATCAGCAAGTGAGGGGTACCATTCCCTTCTCTTATTTTACGTGAGGTGAGATGAGGTGACGTGAGGTGAGGTGAAGTGAGGTGACGTGAATTAGCGTGACTTGGCGTGACTTGACGTGACCACGTGTCTTGGCGTGACTTGGCGATACATGATGTGAGTTGACGAGACTTTGCGTGACTTGACTTAACTTGACGTGTCTTGTCGTTACTCGGCGTGACATGATGTGACTTGACGTGACTTTGCGTGACTTGACGTGATTTGACGTGACTTGACGTGACTTGAGGTTTCTTGGCGTGACTTGACGTAAATTGACGTTTGGCGAGGCGAGGCAATGTTAGACTAGGCTAGGCTGGGGTAGAATACGTTAGGTTACATTATGTTAGGTTGGGTTAGGTTAAGCTAGGTTAGGTTAAGTTAGGTTAGGGTAGGTTAGGTTAGGTTAGGTTTGCGCAGTAGACTTGTGCGCATCCATCAGCAAGTGAGGGCTACCATTCCCTACTCTTAAGTTACGTGAGGTGATGTGAAGTGAGGTGACGTGACTTAGCGTGACTTAGCGTGACTTGACGTAACTTGACTTGACGACGTGTCTTGGCGTGTCTCGGCGTGACATGATGTGACTTGACGTGACTTTGCGAGACTTGGCGTGACTTTGCGTGACTTGGCGTGACTTTGCGTGACTTGACTTAACTTGACGAGTCTTGTCGTTACTCGGCGTGGCATGATGTGACTTGTGATTTGACGTGACTTGACGTTAGGCGAGGCGAGGCCAGACTAAGCTAGGCTAGGCTAGGCTAGGCTAGGGTAGGCTAGATTAGGTAAAATTAGGTTAGGTTAGGTTTGCCCAGTATACTTGTAAGCATCAATGAGTAACTGAGGGGTACCATTCCCTGCTGTTAAGTTATGTGAGGTGAGGTGAGGTGAAGTGAGGAAGTGAGGTGAGTTGAGGAAGTGAGGTGAGGTGAGGTGAGGTGAGGTGAGGTGACGTGACGTGACTTGGCGTGATATGACGTGAGTTGGCGTGAGGCGAGGCGAGGCTAGGTTAGGCTAGGCTATGCTAGGCTAGGTTTGGTTAGGTTAGGTTAGGTTTGCGCAGTAGACTTGTGCGTATCAAACATTAACTTAGGGCTACCATTCCCTGCTGTTAGGTGAGGTGAGGTAAGTTGAGGTGACGTGAATTGACGTGACTTGGCGTGACTTGACGTGACTTGGCGTGACTTGACGTGACTTGGCGTGACTTGACGTGACTTGGCGTGACTTGACGTGACTTGGCGTGACTTGACGTGACTTGGCGTGACTTGACGTGGCTTGACGTAACTTGACGTTAGACGAAGCGAGACGGCGCGAGGCGAGGCTAGGCTAGGCTGACAAGAAATTATTCAACCACTTTGTGAATACGGCAGCGTTGAATGCTTACATTCTGTACTGCAAGGCTGGTAACAAGAAAGATCATCTGTTATTCAGAATAAACTTAGTGAATAAAATCACAGCAATATCCCATGGACAGAATTAGAAATGTGCAAACGGCTTCCTTCCCATACCGACCCGGAATGTACGAGATTGACGGGACAGCATTTCATTCAAGAAAATCCCAAAACCGAAACATAAAAACGGAAAGAGAAAACAAACCAGATATTCGTGTAAAAACTGCCTAGGGCACCGTCTCTCTGCCTAGACGCCTGTTTTGAGCAATACCACACCAAGTTGAACTACTAGACACTGGATATGGAGAGCTGAGAAAAAGAAATTGCTTGACAAAATGTAAGTACACATTTATAGTAGTGAACTGTAAACAATTGTAAATATAATATAATTTTTTGGAATTTTTTAAATAGCGATTTCGTTATTTAAAAATATTTAGGTAAATGTCTGCACAAAACCTTCAATGCTTGCAAAAATAAAGCACCGGGAGGGATTTAAATATCCCCGCTTAAATTCCCGCTAGATGCATGTAACTGAGCGGATGCATACGGTGTGTCGCACACGCTTGTGGGGTTAACGGTCATGCGCCTGGCAACCCTAGCAACGCCACCTGAATGCACTCCGTCCGTCTGTGGGCAGGACGAAACTCTAGAACCACTGAAACGCTTTTAATGAAATTTGGAATTGGAGAGTATTAGCAAAAGTTATCTGCAGATTCTGAGTTTGGTTCAAACCGAAAAAGAAGACAACAGACGCTTGACATGAAGACCTAAACGCGTTTCTGCTCGTAAGTCAAGCGCAACTCGCTGAATATTTATCGGAGTGAAAATATTTCGAAATTACATTGTACAGGAAAATGAAATAAGTTTCATTCCAAAACGCTTTTCCTCTAAGCCTTACGGTTTTAGAGACAATTAAACCAAAGCGATGCTGTGCATACGTCTCCTTATTTGATTTCCGAACTTATGCGAAGATTACTGAGCAGGGAACAGTGGCTTTCTGAACATACGCGAAGACCACGAAAGTCTCTTTAACTGTTGGTTCCTCCCACCTTAACTGTAACATCCTCATGGCCGTGTATGTAGACATACATACATTTAATTAAATATAACTCAACGTGCTTCGCGGTAGCGTAGTTGGTTGAGGCACTATGCCACAAGCTGGAAGGTAGCGGGCTCGAGTCCCCATGAGGTGTATTTTTTTCATTTACCTAATCCTGCCGGCTGCACTATGTCCCTGGAGTCAACTCAGCCTCTACCAGAAATGAGTACCAGGAATCTTCCTGGGGGTAAAGGGCAGCAGACGAGTAAGGCTGGCAACCTCACCTCTATCTGTGGGTTGATTGTGTAGAGAAAATGTGGGAGCCTCGACGTCTCACAACCCTATGGGCCTCCGTGGTCTTCTACAGGGATAGCTTTACCTTTTAACTGAATGTGCTCTCAGAGCATTTCACCATTACAGGTCAGTCTGCACGAACATGAATGGTTCAGTTGTTTCTGAGAAGGGTCACAGTTAAGAAAATAATAAATAAGAAAATTAGGAATTCACTTAGGCCTCGTTTCAATCAGAGATGTTTTATTCTTTGAATGTAGTACAGTCTTATTTTGTATCACATGTACATAGTATCTGGAATATAACTTGCTATTTTCTTAGGTCACTTTCAAACCCTGAAGACGAAGGCAGAATTTTGTGCCGAAACACTAATTGAGTTTACCGGACTACACGATGTTACATTCCAGAAGACTTTGATCTGCACAGACGCGTAATGACAGCGCACAGGGAAGTCCTAGCACTGAGTTCGATCACCTGACAGTGAACAGGTGCTTGTGAATTTAATGTTTGGTTCTTACAGGAAGCGTTCATCGTGGTCTTGATCCTTCCATTTATATTTCCTCCTGTTCAGTGTGCAATGTATACTTTTACATCTACATTTTTAATTGAAATGCAGAGAAAAACGTCCAGATTGACGTTTCAGGAAGGGCTAGGGAGTGATAACTAAGACATGAAAAGTGAGATGTTCGGTTTTCACAGCGGTGAAAGTTCGACATACAAGTACAGTCTGTATCTGTGTGTAGTCTTCAGGATTATGACATCCTGTAGCCTAGTAGCTAAGTAACAACCCGGTGTTTCGTCTGTGAGATAGGATCTGAAACACGCAACACAGCAATCAGGGGAATCCTGTATTAATGAAATACATAATTAAGATTCAAAATATCGAAACACAAAAACGCGATATACAAAACACACAAAGGCTTCTAGTTAAAAATGTAACAGTCAGTTTGTAACATTTCATATCAGTGTTAAACAGGAAGAAATAATGAAGACAGCCCGACGTTTCGGAGACACATATCTCATCCTTTCACACGCTGTTCGCTTAGCTTGTCCCATCTGTTGATTTCATACTTGGCTTACTCTTCTATCCTATAGATGGAGGCTGTATATTCCTCCGAAATGTCGGGCTTGTCTCCGAACTACACGGCTTTGCCACACACCGGAGTGAGAACATCAGATCCAACAGAGAAATAATGAAGTTAATTCGCTCTGTTTTAAGCTCATATTTACGATGCAGAGGAGGGACACGCCCGTATAACATTTCTCCTGATGGGTAGTTTCGAGAACATTTCATAAGAGTAATCTTCAAACGTATTAACATTAAGAGACACAAGAGCAAAACACAAATTTAAAATGTTTTTCCCCGTATCTTGATACCTAAGGTTGAACGTTATAGTATTTTGGGTGTGATGCCGTGCAGTTTTGTAGCCAGATATAAACGTTTCGGAGGAACCTGCTGCTATCATATTCAGGGTAGAAGAGTAACCCGTGAAGGAGAATGTGGTCAGCGATTTATGGAAGAGAGGACATCATTTCCTCTCTATTACTCAACTCTCCTTTTCTGAGGGGTTACACTTTTACTTACAAGCGGTTAGTCGGTAGCTTCTCACCGCGGCGGCCCGTGTTCGATTCCGGGTGTGGTCAAGTGGGATTTGTGGTGGACAAAGTGGCGCTGGGGCAGGTTTTCTCGGAGTACTTCGGTTTCCCCTGCCAATCTTCATTCAACCAATTGCTCCACAATCACCCTCACCTATCATCTGGGGCTGGTACAATAGGCCAGAAGTGGCCGCAGTACAAGGGACTTAGTCCCAACCCACTAGCAATAAAAATACACTTATACCTTGAAGATGGAGGATGCAGGTTCCTCGGAAAAGTTGATACCTATCTACCGAACTGCATGGTGTCACATTCAAGCAGACTGGTCTCACGCTCACTGCCTTGAGTCCGCCACGTGTCATTGAGTTTTCAAGTGTCTGTTACAAGTAGGTATGATGTGTGACACGTACGTGAATTTCTGGTTTCGACCTGCAGGCGTTAAGGCACTTCACACCCTTTGCGGTAGTACGTGTGTTGCAAATGGAATCAGTGCAACAGGGACACTACAGGCGACTTTCCACGCTGCTGAGCTGGTTTTAACGCAGGGCCTGCAACCACCACTACGAAAGTACACGTGGTGATGCACAGGGACACTGCAGGCGACTTTCCACGCTGCTAAGCTGGTTTTAACGCAGGGCCTGCAACCACCACTACGAAAGTACACGTGGTGATGCACAGGGACACTGCAGGCGACTTTCCAAGCTGCTACGCTGGTTTTAACGCAGGGCCTGCAACCACCACTAAGAAAGTACACGTGGTGATTAAGTACTTTCTGTGCTGAATTAAATTTCGATAACAGATACTTCATTTGTTTACATAATCGTGTGTAACTTAATATGTGATTTCGCGCTACAAAACAGTTTTAGCTGACAGGGGAACTATTTATATTACCACAAAAATATGTTTTGAGATTAAGTAGTACATTGCGTCTGAATGAGTTCATAAGTTCATGAAACATGAAAGGCTGGTCATTGTGTTAGGAGGTAAGAAATATGCGGTGCTTAACAGCGCTGCCCCCAGCGGATTGGCGTGTTACTTCCTTCTGGTCACTCTGGCAGCCCTCTTCTTGTTAAGAACGCTGATGCAATCTGCGTGGTTCTGCGCAGTGGCCAAGTCCAGAGCTGTTTTCCCGTCCATCGTGCGTGTGTCGAACTTGGCTCCACTGTGCAACAACAGTTTGAGTGTTGCCAGCCTCCCCCCATGCGCCGCGCAGTGCAGTGGAGTCCAACCTGCAGAACTCTTGATGTCCACTACCGCACCCTTCTCTAGCAGCTCTTCAGCACAGCTGAGGTGTCCATTTTGGGCAGCAATATGCAGAGGCCACCATTTACCTCTGGCCTTCATGGTCAGGTCCGCTCCGTTCTCAAGCAACAGACTAAGCACCTCAAAGTGTCCGTTCTGTGCCGCTATGTACAGTGCAGTAAACTGTTCACCGTCCGTTGCTTGATTAATAGCAGCTCCGTTCTTGAGCAACGTCTCGACGCAGTTCACTTTGCCACTTTGCGACGCGCGGTGCAGAGGAGTCCAGCCACCTGTTGCTCTAGCATTCACGTCGGTACCCTTCTTGATAAGCGCCAGCACACAATCCGAGTAACCACTGTGAGACGCGACATGGAGAGGCGTCAGTCCGCCAGTGCTCTTTGTCTTGACATTGGCGCCATTTAAAAGCAGGAGTTTCACGACGTCGAGGTGTCCGTTCTGCGACGCTATGTGCAATGCTGTCCAACCACCCTTACTCTTGTCGTTCACATCGGCTCCGCTCTCTATGAGGATCTTGGTGCAGTCTAAGTGTCCGTTCTGCGCAGCTACGTACAGCGCCGTGTTACCCAGGTCACTCTTCATTTGCACATCCACGCCCTTGTCGATTAGCATCTTAACACAGTCCCAGTGGCCGTACCTCGCAGCTCTGTGCAGAGCGGAATGTCCGTATCTGGTTGTGGCGTGTTTGTCCGCCCTGTGACGCAACAGCAACTCAGCACACTTGAGGTGCCCTCTCTCGAGAGCTTTGTGAAGTGGAGTCTCACATTTCTCGTCTCTCGAATCCACCTTTGTTCCCTTCTCCACCAGCGCCTTCACGCAGTCCACATGCCCTTCTTCAGCTGCTTTGTGGAGGGCGGTTAGTCCTAAGCAGTTCTTGGCATGAACATTGGCGCCCTTCTTGAGCAGTATCATGACGCACTCGAGACGCCCGCTGGACGCGGATATGTGGAGCGCTGTTTCGCCGTCAGGTGTTGCTGCGTGAATATCTGCGTTGTACTTGAGCAGTGTCTCTAGCGACCTCACGTTCCCCTTCTCGGCCACTGTGTGAAGGACAGTGTATCCTCTGCTGTCCTTCGAGTTGGCGTTTGCCTTGTTCTTCAGGAGGACTTCTAGCGAGTCCTGAGATGCAACGTGCAGGATATTGGAGTCCACATTTGCTCCGTGTTGCAGTAGCAGGAGCACGCAATTTGTGTGACCCTTCTCCGTAGCGACGTGCAGCGGGGTCCACCCGTCATCTGTCGTCTTCTCGTTGGGACTGGCTCCGTTCTCGAGGAGCATTTTTACGCAATCCCAGTGTCCACTCTGTGCCACTGTGTGCAGGGGGGTCCAGCCTCCCGTGCTCTTCACCCCGACATCAGCTCCCTTTTCAAGGAGCAACCTGACGCAGTCAAAATGCTCGTTGAGCGCGGCTATGTGCAGTGACGTGACGCCTTCCAAGTCCCGAGCATTGACGTCGGCTCCTTTGTCCAGCAGAAATTTGACGCATCCCAGAGCTTTGAAAATAGTAGCGGTGTGGAGAGCTGTGACTCCCTGCTCGTTCTTGGAGTTGAGGTCGGCTCCCCGCTCTACCAACAGCCGTATGCACTCGACGCTTCCGTCCTGGGCCGCTATGCGAAGAGCGTTCTCGCCGAACTCATTAACAGTCTCGATGTCCGCCCCCTCGTTGAGTAATTTCTTGGCGTGCTTGAAATCGCCTGACCAGATCGCTTCAAGGAAAGCGGTGTTTAGCTTCTCGGATTGGCCTTCCATTTCGGGTGATCTGAAATCATAATTTACAGTTTCATAATCGACAGACTGGGTTCAATGATTGATCTTAGTTCTTTCCAGAAGTGTCAGATCAATAGTTACTGTCCCCCTTTTCACCTGAGGGTGGAAACAAATCCAGTTTCCGAAATCTTGTGCTTAGTTAGGAATACCAGACGATGGACAGAGTCCACAAAGAGAGTGATACTGAACATAACTGTAGTATTACTAAATACACACCGAAGAAATTCAGATATGCAGATCTGTACACATTTGTAAAATATCCCGCGAGTTTCGGGGCATTCCCGAATTAAAACCTTTAAGAAGTCCTTCCTTAGTTTCCCATGTCTGTCCATCTGTCTGCATGTAACAACTGGAGAAGCGCTGAACAGATTTTTATGAAATGTGATACTGCATATTAAGAATGCCGTCTTCTAGGATGTAGCGCCGTGTAGATCTTATGTGAACCGACGTTCCTCTCAAACGTCGGTTCACACAAGATCTACACGGTGCCACAACCCAGAAGACGGCATTTTTGATAATCACCGCCGTGAAAACCTCAAATCTTATACGATACTGCAAATGTTTGCTAAGAGGGCAGCGTAGTTGGTTGAGGCATTATGCTACAAGCCGGTAGGTCGAGGGTTCGATTCCCGATGAGGTCATTGGACTTTTAAGTTGACCTAATCCTTCCAGTCGCACTAAAGCCCTAGGGCCGACTCAGCCTCTATCAGAAATGAGTGCCAGGAATTTTCCTGGGGTAAAGGGCGGCCGGGGTGTGAGGCTGACCTAACCGCCATCTGTGAGCCGATTTTCTAGAAAATGCGGGACCCTCAACATCTCACAACCCTATGGGCGTGCAGGGTCTGTTACAGGGATAGCTTTACCTTCACTCATTTTATATGTTTGCAACACCTGTGGTCATATATGAGATTTACTTGGAATTGGACAACTGAAGTGGGCGCCTTGCAAGAAGATCCACGTACGTTTCTCTGCGTACATCTAGCGTCAGTTGATAAATTTTTGAGCAAAATATATTTCAATTAAAGCTGTGCCAGATGCTGAAACCGTACGTTTTATTTCAAGTGTATTTGTTCCTGAATGTTCTACCTTTCGAGAAAATAAAACAATACACACTTTTGTGCGGCATAAACTGGTAAACTGAGCAGACGCTGACCGACTATGGGTTCCTGGATGGAGATTTTCAATAGTTGGTGCTCACGAATTTGGATTGTAGAGACAATATTAGAGCGTTAGAGCCAAAACTGTGATACCGCGTGGCATGATTAATATATACGAACATCTCGGAGGAACCTGCTGTCTTCATCTTCAGGTTATCCAAAACGTTGGCATATGTTTACCTGGCTACACACGGTCTGATATTCCAGAAGGCGGTAACCTTCATATCCCCTCCCATGGGAACTCAAATCTCACGTTTCCTAACTTGNCCGAAACGTCGGTTAACACCACATATACACGGTGCCAAATCCCAGAAGACTGCTTTCTTGTTTAATTTGATTCTGCATTTACCGTCATGGAATTCCGGAATATTGAAGACGGGCTTCTAACCTGTGTCTGAAACACATTTGATAGCACGTCATCGATGGGATCTTACGTCATAATTAAAAAGCTACCAGATTCTATTTTGAGCACAGGAATGGGGAACCGAATCTTCATACCGTGGACTTTGACTAGCTCACAAGAATTCTCTTCCGTAGTTGTCAGTTAAAGGCGTGACGTAACCTCCGAAATGCTTTAGGCAAATGATATGTTGTTCTGAGTGAACATAGCAGCATTACTGCCTGATGAATCATTGTGGCGACAACAGAGCTAAGCAGGCAGGTAGAGACATCACTATCAGTGAGTCACTCTCTGATGACGACGTTCTTCATGTCTTGAGTGACCACTAAAGCGCTCCAACCTAATTGACCAATAATGAATGACTCATGGGTCATGTATTTGAGAACAGTGTTTTCATATCCAACGATACGCAGTCACCGTGGCGTGTGCCTACGGGTTACACATATTGGTCGGCGAGATTTTCTTTTTGCAAGACAAATACAGCGTCCTCTAAACGAGCATTGGTTTCTGCGAAACGAATTCACACTGGGGAAGTAATACAGTCGTCTGTCTGTGAATTATAGGCAAACATCACTTACTCGTTCAGCATACCTACGGGACATGAACCATAGACAACACATCACTTGTCCAATATACCTACGGGACAAGAACCACAGACGCATGTCACTTGTTCGACATACCTACGGGGAGTGAACCATGAACAACACATCTCTTGTTCAGCATACCTACGGAGCATGAACCATAGACAACACATCACTTGTCCAGCATACCTACGGAGCATGAACCATAGACACATGTCACTTGTTCGACATACCTACGGAGCATGAACCATAGACAACACATCAGTTGTCCAGCATACCTACGGGGCAAGAACCACAGACGCATGTCACTTGTTCAACATACCTACGGCGCGTGAACCACGAACAACACATCACTTGTTCAACATACCTACGGGGCATGAACCATTGACACACATCACTTACTCGTTCAACATACCGTTTTTTTCAGAGGCTCTTCCAACACATTCTGGGCCCAGACACAGTTCCGTAATCATTTTTCACAGTCGGTAGGACCCCTTGGACGAGTGATCAGCCTGTCGCAAGGCCGCTACTTAGACACAGGACAACACAAACATAGAATAAACGCATACACAGACACAAGACACACACACAACAAAACATCCATGCCTTGAGTGAGAGATTAGAACCCACGATCCCAGCTTCCGAGAAGCGAAGACAATTCATGATTTTTTTTATTCGCTTAGTGGGGGATCGTGTCCTGGGTCCACTCGGCACGGCGGCCACTGATTGGCATATTGAGCCTGCCCCGGGTGATTATAATGATGGAGAATTTGGCGGAATGAAGATTGGCAGGGGAAACCGAAGTACTCGGAGAAAACCCGCCCTAGCGCCACTTCGTCCACCACAAATCCCACTTGACGAGACCCGGGATCGAACCCGGGCCGCCGCGGTGGGAAGCCAGCGACTAACCGCTTGAGCTATGGCGCGGCTACTGTGACCGACTGTTCAGAATACCAAGGGGGGGGGACCGTAGATATACATAATTTGTCCTGCATACCTACGAGGTATGAACCATAGACACACGTCACTTGTTCAGCATACCTACGGGGTATGAACCATAGACAAACATAACTTGTTCAGCATACCTACGGGGCATGAACCATAGAAATATGTCACTTGATCAGCATACCTACGGGGCATGAACCATACACATACGTCACTTGTTCAGCATACTTATGGGGCATGAAGCATAGACAACACATCACTTGTTCAGCATACCTACGGGGCATGAACCATAGAAACATGTCACTTGATCAGCATACCTACGGGGCATGAACCATATACATACGTCACTTGTTCAGCATACTTATGGGGCATGAAGCATAGACAACACATCACTTGTTCAGCATACCTACAGGACATGAACCATAGACAACACATCACTTGTTCAGCATACCTACGGGACATGAACCATAGACAACACATCACCTGTTCAGCATACCTACGGGACATGAACCATAGACAACATATCACTTGTTCAGCATACCAGTGGAGCACGAAACAGAAAGGCGTCACTTACGCTTCAGCTGCACCTGGAAACTCGGCTGCCGTGCTGCTCACCAACAAGGCACTGAGTGAGCGGGCCAGGTAGTCTGGCCAGTTCTCCCACCAAGCGCTCTGCATTCTTCGCGGGGGCTGAAGGTCGAATTTCCGGACGTTAGTGTTCGTTTGTTGTCGACATTCTCTTCTTGCGGGCTCTTGTGGACACGGCAACGAATCTTCCAGGGAATGCCCTGACCAGCTGAGCGACTGTTAGCTTCTCAATGAAATCAATGAATTTTTTAGAAAAGAATGTTCTGACTGCCATGTGTTTCATGTAGCTCTGTGGCCTGGCTACTTGATTAGAGGAAGGTCGAAGGGGGTTACCATTCCTGCTACGTGTTCAGGATGTCTCATCTTCAGTTGTCGGCTGGTTATGCACCGTCCCTTCCGGCGAGATTGTACGAGATTTTCTGTGATTTCTCTCCTTCCAGGCAACGCAGTTTGTCGCGGATTTCTTCAGTGTTTCCACGTAAGAGTTTTGCATGAAGAGTTGTACCTTCTGGGATATAACGCTGTGTACTCCGAAGAAAGTCAACCGACGTTTCGGAGGATCATGTCACCGTCATCTTCAGGTTTGTTGAATAAAGTCCTGAAGGAGGAGTCGATATGTTCCACCGAAACGTCAGTTGATTTCCAACGGATTACACGGCGTTATGTCCCAGGAGATAGTACGCTTCATAACTATCGCTGTTAGAACATCAAATCATACGGAATTTTACATGATTTCCCTTGCCCCCCCAGACAAGATAGGTTTTTCTCAGCCTCTCCAGGAAAGAGTATTGACTGTGTGGGAACTCTTATATAGAACTGGGCTTTATCACTGGGCCTAGTGTAACGTAGTGAAATATAGTGTAGTGCAGTGTAGTGTAATGTGATGTAGTGATATATAGTGTAGTGTAGTGTAATGTAGTGCAGTATAGTGTAGTATAGTGTAATGTAGTGCAGTATAGTGTAGTGTAGTGCAGTATAGTGTAGTGTAATCTAGTGCAGTATAGTGTAATGTAGTGCAATATAGTGTAGTCTGGTGTAATGTAGTGCAGTATAGTGTAGTCTAGTGTAATGTAGCGCAGTATAGTGTAGTCTAATGTAATGTAGTGTAATATAGTGCAGTATAGTGTAGCCTAGTGTAATGTAGCGCAGTATAGTGTAGTCTAATGTAATGTAGTGTAATATAGTGCAGTATAGTGTAGCCTAGTGTAATGTAGCGCAGTATAGTGTAGTCTAATGTAATGTAGTGTAATATAGTGCAGTATAGTGTAGCCTAGTGTAATGTAGTGCAATATAGTGTAGTGTAGTGTAATGTAATGTAATGTAATGTAATGGGCGCCGTGAGGACATTTTCAAAGGGGCGACGGCCAGAAAATTTTCACATAAGCTCACGTTTAAGGCATGTCAGACTGTTTCCAGTGGTCGCCCTAGAATGGGTATAATGCAAGAAATAATTTTCAGTCATTTGCACTAAGATTTTAAATATTTCCTTCTTTGTTGCAATTTTTAAGTTTTACAAAAATCCAAAGGGGGATGATAGGTCTGGCTACCTCCCTTCCGCTACAGGGGTTGTGGTGTTGATGTCGGTACTCTGTAATATACCTCCCTCCCATACTGTCTCTTTCTACCTGAAGACTGAGACGGAGCGACACACTGAAACCTCATTATTTCTTATTAGTAAGTTGGTTGTATCCAGACAAAACCCATCTTATGAGTGCTGTAGTGTCCTGCCTCCACTTCTGGGCGAATGTTTCTCCGTACTGTGTAGCATGCGGTTTGTTCTGACTCACATCAAAACTGTAGTTGATTCCTAGATTTCAAACCCATTTTCCCGAAAAACTGTTTCAGATGGACACAGTACACTCCAGAACTCATGTGACTTCAAGGTTTGTGTCCTTCCTTCTGGATCATTAAATCAAATTAGGAGTAATTGTCGTGCAGCTGTGGGCTCGCGGTCCCAGGCTCGACGGATGCGAATGGCTGATATGGTGGAAGCGACTGATGAAATTAGCTTGGGCATGGACGTGGGTGTCCTGTTGGAAGGAGAGAGTGCGGGGGTACTTGCGACACGTTTATATCCCAATCGCAACGAGGAGTGGCGTACCGAGTACCGTTGTGTAAGAACTGATTACGGGGATAGCATACGTGATACATGAACTTTCTGTAGTGCTCAATCAAGAAACGCCATGTCGCTTCTTGCTTTGTTGTTTAGCGATGCTGTCACTATGACGCCTATATAGCGTCGATGATAACAGCGATTGCTGGATGTGAAACATCTGATGGAACGAGAATTGGCAGGGGAAAACGCAGTACTCGGAGAAAACTTTCCCCAGTGCCACTTTGTCCACCACAAATCTCACACTTTCTGACCTGGGATCGAGCCCGGACCGCCGCTATGGGAAGCCTACGACCCCTATGACTAACCGCCTGAGCTGAGGCAGCCCCTTCCGTCGTATTCTTATTCAAATGTTTGAATCAATGTACCATTACAGCACGCATGCGCATTTTTCTGACCCATTTAAAGCCAAAAAAGAAAATCCGTGGCCTGTAGTCCACAAACGAACTATACCGACCGAGCGGCCGCAGCTTGTCGGCGAAGTTAGTGCCAACTTTAGCAGGTAGAGGATGTCGTGTGGTCAGCGCAACGGATCCCCACGGCCGTTAATCTCGGCTTTTTAGACCGGAGCCACTATGTCTTTGAAATAGCTCCTCAATTATCCTCATGAGGCTGAACTTTTCAGAACATCTGATAGCACCGGGAATCGAACCCGGGACCTCTGGATCTGTAGCCAGGAACCCTGACCACTAGAACATAGAGGCACCCCCCCTCTTTTAAAGCACTGTGCTTTAATATTAAGAAATTCTCCATTTTCCCCGCACGACGTGTTTCTTGTAATTCTGACACTAAACAGCCACAATATCATTACACAGTACAAATACAGCGTTTGTAAAGGAGATGCGTTTTACTTTCTTTGAATAGTGCTTTTACATTATATGAATTACACAAGGTTCGTGGTATCTTGTCTCAATATGAACGGGAGGAGGGGGATGTTGCGGTCTGAAGGAGTGTGCTTGTGATAAACGGAGTGTTAAGAAGAGCAAATAGCTACGTTGCTGATAAGAGAACTGAACCCAGTATGTTGACATTCCTTTATTGTACTTATCTCAGTTGGAATGATAATATCACTTCAGTATACAACCATATTCCGACTCGTTAACATTTCAGAAATTGCTATTACAATAGGATTTGACTCGCAGTCTATTGTCTATGGCGATTATTGTCCATAAGTAACAGGGAATAACACAACAGATGTGGATTTAATATAAGAAATATGTGAAGAGAAATTATTTTCAGTTGATATACTAACCATTTTCTTAATCATCAATTAAACTGTGATTTTTATTCCACCATTTTGTTATAGAACAGTCTGTAAACTTATAATTTATAGTTATGAGAGAAGAAATAGGATAATAGCTGCCTTTATTTTATACATTATTTTAAATTTTACGTACTTCGGTATAGAATAATAAATTTGGGGGAACACATAGAAAATTAATGCACCATATCAATACTTCTATCGTAATAATAATAATAATAATAATAATAATAATAATAATTATTGTCATTAATCTCACACATTTCTTGGCACTATATCTCTAGTGACATGATGCAGACAGGAGAACCCTGATACAGTTTATTTATATAGCAAATTATTTTCTTTTTAATAATATTATTGTCATTCGTACTTATATGAAGATAATAATTCGTATAACAATTGAAGGTCTCGCTTGCATGGCCTACATTGATGTGTTAAGGCGTCTAACAATTCCATTGTTGTTAGATAGAAACCCGAAGGCATATAACCTGGATATAGACCGTGCTTATGCATCTGTTATTGTCTCATTATTGTTTATGACTTTGGTTAGCTCGTGTCTTTTAAGTGCTATTATAAAAACGCTTCCCATCTCCTCCACGTGCCTATAAAATGTAAGCTGAAGTTTGATATTTGCTTTGGATTTAAAGTTATTGAATTAATGCACTATTACGACTGACTCGTTTCATAAACAAACGAACCGTGTGACTTTGTACATGTAAGGATGTGCAGAATTGAAAATGATGGAGTATCTGTGTTTGTGTTGCATTAATGAAGAGAACTGAGATTTGTGGCAAGCTATTTTTATCTGAAAAAGGGAAAAAAGTTTAGCGTTACGAATATTTAGGAATGTAAAATTCGTGGACTTAATATCATTACTTTGTTGAAATTGATTGAACAGAAGTCATCAATGCTTGAAAATAAATCCTAATTGTCGCAGTATCAGAGCCCGTTGAGAAAAAACAAACTCCGTGGCCTGTAGTCCGCAAGCGAACTATACCGACCGAACGACCGCCGCTTGTCGGCGGAGTTAATGCCAACTTTAGCGGATGGAGAATGTCACGTGGTCAGCGTAACGGATCCCCACGGTCATTAATCTCGATTTTCTAGACCGGAGCCGCTATTTCCTTGAAATAGCTCCTCAATTATCCTCACGAGGATGAGTGGACCCCGTTCCAGACCCACTACTTCTCAGAAAATCTGGTGGTAGCGACGGGAATCGAACCCGGGACCTCTGGATTTTTAGCCAGGAACTCTGACCGCTAGACCACAGAGGGGGGTGGGGATCAGGGCCCGTTGACATATACCGAAAAAGCAGTATGATTGGTTAGAGCACACAGATAATGGTGTTTAAGTGTAGAAATGGAGGAACTCGCGTTTGCATGTCGTAGTGTTTCGCCCGGAAAATGGACGCTAAATTAAATCAACTTCCAAGTAATGCACAAATAATCATTGAAGGTAGATTTTTCGGAACCTTTAAAAATAAAGCTACGTTTTAAACAACTGTTTGACACCTTCAGACAAGCTTGTCATGGTTTCGAGCACGAATGTTACATCTTGTATTCTAGTAGCTTTTCGTGCAAATAATTCGTTACCAGGAGTGTATTCGCAGATAGGAGGGAGGTGACTGAGGCAGAAAATTTGGAAATATAACGAAGAAAGAATACATTTGAGACTGAAGCAACCAGATTTATTTCATTGTTGGTATTATGTTGTGAAGATCTTTGTATCGACTGGTATGCTTCCGTGGAAATGTATAAATGAAATTCTTTTCTTTGTTGAATTGAAACTCAGTAGGGGAAAGGTTAAATTCACTGCCGTCTACTGTAAGATTGTTGTTGTTTCAAGCAACGCTGCTACTGTATTTTGCTGCGGGTAGAATATGCTTCGTGTGGAATGGTTAGTGAGTTACACGAATCAAGGTTATTGTCCTCTGGGATGTGACAATTAGTAGTCAGCCATATTTAGGGTTACTAGTACCCTCTACGTTTTTTCTCCAACCCAATATTCCTATATTTTTAGTTTAATTTTATTAATATCATTGTCCTTGTTTTGTTCTTGTTATTATTCTTCATCTCTCGCTTCTGTTGTTTCCCACCTTCTCTATGTTTCTACATTTCTTTTCCTTTTGGCCCCTTCCCCTTACAAGATACTCCTTTTAAGAACCAGCGGTTCCTATTAGTTCATTCTTCGTCATGGATCTTGTCTTTCCTCATATGGCCCTCCATTTTAACGTCGCATCTTTACCTTCTACCCTGAAGATGGAGGCAAGAGATTGGTTGGTATCCGTCTATCACTACATGGTGTCACACCCAAAGAACAATTATCTTAGCAAACCGCTGAGGGAACCTGGTATCTGGCATGGATCAATGATTTTGCCCCTGCTGCAATAACATTGATTCACAACCAGTACAAAACGCAACTTGAAATCATAACACATCCTTAGGAACTGTGTACCAAATGTGACTTTGAGCTCCTAAGATATTCAAGGACAGAAGAAACTTTACGATTCATCTGAAAATATCGACTATATAAAGAATTTTGAACCAGCCTTTTAAGTCATGATTGGATTAATTGGGTAATTGAAGGAGACGTTTTATGATGTTGCGACACTTTTTGTTTACGTGTATGAACATTGTGGTCAAGTACGAATATTTTGTTTAAGTGTGAACATTTTGGTTTGGTGTGAACATTTTAGTGACGCCTTAACACCGCCCACGGGCGAGAGAAATGATTTGGGTTATCTTAATGTCTTGCACAGCAAAGTTTGATGGGTCCTGTCGCCCTCAGAATGTGTTATCTCACACTACATACTGAACATTCCTTTTGAAATCAGGACTCATATGGAAGAACTTGAATATTCTTAGAATACTTCCGTTCGTAAGCATGTTTAAAAAATATCATAATGAAGCTTGAATAAATTTATCTTGACATTTAGAGACAAATAAAGATTATGAATATATGTTGCATCTAAAGTTAATGATTTAGTGATCATTTCAGTAAACTCCAGCAAATATGACTTTGTCTATTAGTACAGTTCTCTATACACGAGAGAACATAATCATTTCGGCAAGGGAACTCACTCTTTCGGATTAAACGAAAAGAGAATGGACTCCAACTTGTCTTGCAAGAGTTCGTACTGAAATGAAGACACCCCATAAAGATGCTTCGCTTTGTATAGTCTACATTAAATAACACAGAAGTTATGCATTTCATCAACATCTAACAGCACTAGTTCAATAGTTGTGAAGTTTTTGTTTGACATGAATTATGAAACTTATGGAATTTAAACTGAGCATGGTTTCGTAATCAGATTTAAAACCTTTTATTACGCAAAATCATGCTCTCATATTTATTTTATAAAATACATTTTATCAGAATTTATGGATTCATAGATATGTGGGGTAACTACCTCTCTACCTCAGTCGACAAACAGCTTATTGTATTAACTTGCCACACAAATTATGCATCTGTTACTTTCGGTACAGATGGCGAGCGCTGTTACTTTCGGTACAGATGGCGAGCGCTGTTACTTTAGGTACAGATGGCGAGCGCTGTTTAAAAAATTATTTCCACGAACTCGTGAATTTGAATATGTTTTTAGAACATTTGTCTTTGTAACGCTTCTTATTCAACTCTTTCCCTGCTGTAAGCGCATTATCTCGTTCAGAAATTCTGCCTGTTTCCCCTCTCGACATCTTTGTTTTCCGATATCGTAAAAAGTGAATTCTCCTGCCATGTGCCGACAACATGACGTTTCAGCCGTAGGAATTATAATGCCTGATTGAAATATAGAAATAAAAGGGATTTTTTTAATTAGAACATTAAGTATTCTGATTGTATGCCGCGTCATAGCTCAAGCGGTTAGTCGGCTGGCTTCCCACCGCGGCTGCCCGGGTTCGATCCCGGATCTGGGATTTGTGGTAGACAAAGTGGCGCTGGGGTAGGTTTTCACCGAGTACTTCGGTTTCCCCTGCCAATCTTCATTCCACAAAATTCTCCATCATCATAATCACCCAGGGCAGGTACAATAGGCCAATCAGTGGCCGCCGTGCCGAGTGGACCCAGCTGGACGCCACCCCCCACTAAGAAAATAAAAAAAAAAATTCTGATTTTACAACAAGTTAATACAAGTGAAATCAAGTCAAACGTAACGCGTAATGTTTATATTAGCACGTAGAACCCAAAGCTAAATATTTCGCGTTTACTGAAAATTGTTTGCTGGCGCATATGCAGTTTCTGTGTCAGTCCATTTCGGCTGTCAATGCGATAGTGAAAGAAATGTTCCGTAAGAGAACTGAATGACAGTCCTTAGTTTCAGTAGTTCTTTGCGCCGTCTTTCTCATATCGGCAGCCAGACCTCTTTCAGAAGAAAAAGAACAAGACTTAACATGGCTGCAGCAGTTACAGCAACATAACATAACATACCAGTGTCGACAATACTTGCATTTACTTTGCAATGTCAGTAACGACGTTTACAGATTTGAGGTTTTCACGGCTGTTCCTATGAAGAATGCCGTCTTCTGGGATGTGGCACCGTGTAGATATTTTGTTAACCGACGTTTCGGAGGAATGTATCGCCACCAGCGTGAGCAGGTTCATCGCTCGCGTATTTTTCATAACCCGAAGATGGACGAGATACATACCTCCGAAACGTCGGTTAACAAAATATCTATACGGCGCCACAACCCAGAAGATGGCATTCTCGACACTGTCCTTGTCCTCAGGTACCGTCCGACTAATTAAATCACGACAAGGCCTCCGTAACATCTCAAGGGATTAATTTTAACCGCGCGAAACGTGGCAGAATGTAAGAAATTCAAGTACTGCTCCCGAAGGAAGGAATCGTAGTGCTTTAATTCATGACGTAGTGCATTGGGAAGGGTTGTAAATGTTGCGTCGTTGGTTTCAGATATCTCATGATTCGAATTACGGACAAAATATCAGAAATTGATTGTGTTTTCTACGTATTATCTGAAGTACATGATAAAGTAACTCCTCCGATGTACAATTTAAAATTTCCTCGAATGTCGACACACGTAGGCTACACTGGGTTTTCAAACACTTCTGACCCTCGACATTAGCGGAGAACACTGTGTTCCTGTGTTTATTGTACGTAAGTTCTGTAAAGAAGCGAACGGTCAAATTCGAAAACAATTCATTAAGTATCGATAATTTTATTCTTTCCGTCAGAAGAAAACGGTGGCCACTGAACTGAGTTGGTGTTTGTTACTATTACATCACGCTTCACTTCAGTCACTAGGCCTGTCGCTTTTGTTGGTCACAGAGCGTACGGAGAGGTGGGGGGGGGACCGTAAAGTGTTACGGCATTGAGGGCGTCTCTGTGTCTCATTTAATATCATGCTCTTTGTCAGTTTAATTTCATTTACTAGGGCTATGCTACAAACCGGAAAGTCGCGGGTTCAAGACCCGATGAGGTCATTGGATTTTTTTTTTCAATTGACCTAATCCTTCCAGCCGCACTATGACCCTGAGGTCGACTCAGCCTCTAACAGAAATGAGTACCAGGAATTAATTAAATATTTTTCTTGAGAAGTAAAGGGCATCCGGCGCGTAAGGCTGGGAACCTTGCCGCCATCTTTGAGCCGATTGTCTAGTATTGTGAGACCCTCACAACCCTATGGGCCTTCACGGTCTGTTACATGGATAGCTTAACTTTTTTACTTAGGGGTAAGCATAATTCGTTATGTTATTGTAATTTAAGACGAAATATTTATGACCTCCAAATATACAATTTTTGGGGCGCAAAGGGTACCGGTGCTCACTGATCCACCGCTCGGAGCCCTAGCTGCAAATATATTTTTGGAAACATGATATTTGGTACTGTCTCGAGATATCGAAGAGTTTCAGATACAAACCAGAGGAGCGCGATGTTGCTGTTTGTGTGGGCACGTTCATAAATGCGCTGTTTGTGGGCGAGGTTACAGTATCAGATTGAAGTTCGGTGCTGGTCGCAGGAAGAACTTGAAGGCTGTTGTCGTTCAGATGTTTCTCGCGTGAGGGCGCTTCCGGCCCGGGGACGGGGTTGTCCTCGGACCTTTGCTCCCCATCTGCGGGATCCTTCCTGCAAACATCACGAAACAGATTAATAAACAAGTCTTCACGGTTTCACATCCATGCCACAGAACAAAGGCCAGGCCTAATGGCAGTGTGAGTAATGGTGTGCTCCCCCACTCCCACCATCGGGCAGTCAAGATGGCGGTAGGTGTTTGTTACGCGGGAACAAGGGTCACTTGTCTATAGGGCAGTGCTCTGCTTGCTGTTTGGCTTATTCTTCGACCTTGAAGATGGAGGCGATATGTTCCTCCGAAGAGTCGGTGCACTACACGAAGACAGAATTTTCCTTAACGTTAAATTTCGTAAGAGATGACCGGATCTTGCGTGTCACACTTCCTGTACACGTAACGTTCTCCGAATAGATACTTTCATTCACACCGTGAAGTCTGGTAAAATTGACTTAACGATGCTATCTGTAGCACAGGGGGCCTTCTGAAACGATTCTTAACACCCGATTTCTTACGACGAGGACCAGTTGGCCCCTACGCAAACCTGATGCTAGAGGACCACCGGTTGTCGGCTGTCCACGTCTGCTTATTCAATATATTCACAGCTACTCTCCATACCTGGAGGCCGTCTCCTCCATCCGCAGCCTGAAGACGCGCCATGCAGTGATAACAAGGGACCCACAGTATTGTAGTGTATCTTCAAGGAACAGGACGGGAGCGTGTGGATTGAACTCATCTGGCTCAGGGTAAGGACTGGACACGGCAGTGGCCCTCTGCGTTCCATACATTGCTGGTAAGTTCTTGAGTAGCTGAGCAACTGTTAGCTTCTGAAAAAGGGCTTAGTTTCATGGAGATATTCATTAGCTCAGACTGCAAAGCGCGAAATTTCTTGGTGACAGTGTGTATTGCCTGAGTTCAAGCCTAGATTCGAACCGAGTACCTCATATTACAAGTCAGAAGCGTTACCACTTGAGCCAGCTTTTCTCTGGAATATACGGTTTCCGTCTTCAGAATGAAAGTGTTTCCTTTACCTTGAAGATGGAGATAGAACCCATGTGCCAGACTACACGGTGTCATAACCTAGAAGACTGCAGAATAAGTTTTGGTAACAGGATCAAAAGCATGACGTCCAGCGGTGTGACTCGAACATTGACATCAGATGTGGCACGTCTGCAATTTATTTATGATTATATATGTAAACACCTGACGATGGCCAATCACGATCGAGATATGTAGCGTTCAATATAATAAATTGATATATTGAGTTCAGTCGCTTATTACATGCAACACAATCAACTTGGATTTTATTTTATGCAGACACAAGAGTTTACATAGAATGAAAAAGTAGATGACGTAGTTTTTTTTTATTGCTAGGGTGGGACTAAGTCCCTTGTACTGCGGCCACTTCTGGCCTATTGTACCAGCCCCAGATGATAGGTGAGGGTGATTGTGGAATGAAAATTGGCAGGGGAAACCGAAGTACTCGGAGAAAACCTGCCCCAGCGCCACTTTGTCCACCACAAATCCCACTTGACCAGACCCGGGATCGAACCCGGGCTGCCGCGGTGGGAAGCCAGCGACTAACCCCAGATGACGTAGTTAGAACAGCATCACTAAATGACACAATAATCAATTCATACATATATTCGTATTACACTTTTCAACGAGTGTCTTGGTGTGGTGGTTGTCAATTACTTCGCCCTCGGAAAGTACCATTTTTTAAACACCGTTTAGTGACCTTGCGTGCTGAACGGAGGTTAATTTTTATTGACGTCTCACTGCAGACAATTTCAGCTCTGTCGGAATCCAAGCCATAACCGACTTCATGGAGCTGAGCCCTTCTTGAGAAGCCGCCAGATGTGCAGCTACTTAACAGCTTCCCAATATTTTATTGAACCCGAAGGTTCATCACCGTTTTCATAAGAGCCATCCACTGGTACCTATCCAGAGCCAGAACAGTCCAGTCCAAAGCACCCCATCCTATCTCTCTAACTTCCATTTTAATATCATCCACCCACCTAATTGTTGGTCTTCATAGTGGTCTCTTTCCTTCTGGACTTCCCACCAATGTCCTACATGCACTCCTCTTGGATCCGAGCAATGCACAACTAAACCACATTATTCCCATCATGTGACTGGCATAAAGCTGTACTGATGCGCCATGAGAGTTGTACTGACGGCTGCAGTGGGCAGACAAATCTCTTGAGGTTTAGAAGGTTTAAGAACACAGTCTCGAACATACAGCGGATCATTCTTACGTGTGGGAGCCGCGGACAACGCAGTCGGTGTGTAGCGACTGCCTGCGGGCTGAACGGCTTTGAATAGGATTTGGAGTTCCAGTAGGGGCAAGATGTTTCTCCTCTCCACGTCGCTGAGACTGGTTCTGGGGCCCACCCAGCCTCTTATCCAGTGGGTACAGGGAGTAAAGCAGCCGAAGCGTGAAGTTGACCACTCGCCTCCAACTAGTGCCGAGGTCAAGAACACGTGGATGTATACGTACATCCACTCCCGCCATACCTTTTAATGGTGTAGTTCATAATTAGCTGAACACAGGGACATGTTTTCTTTACCATTCTTATGTCGCGACTTGTTTGTATTGTCTATGTAGACCTACGTCTGTATCTGTTTTTATTGCTAGTGGGGTGGGACTAAGTCCCTTGTACTGTGGCCTCTTGTACCAGCCCCAGATGCTCGGTGAGGGTGATTGTGGAATGGTGGAATGAAGATTGGCAGGGGAAACCGAAGTACTCGGAGAAAACCTGCCCCAGCGCCACTTTGTCCACCACAAATTCCACTTAACCAGACCCGGGATCGAACCCGGGCCGCCGCGGTGTGTCCTACGTCTGTAACTCAGCAACTTTACAGCGATGATGACTGTTCAGTCGCTTGCTCGCGCATGTTCAGTAAAGGAAGCACGTACATACCGTGGCCACGGCATGGCACAAGTAACGTCGTTGCTAGACTGAGGTGGTTTATCTTTCCACTTGCGTTCTTTGTTGAATATACAGCCATAGTTTGCTTTGCGAATGACCTTGTAATGTTGCTAGTGTCTCTACTTGCCCGCTGTTATAACTCATGGCTTATTTTTAATCTCGAGTACAAACAAGGTCCTTAGAGTGGATTGTCACACGTAAGTGCGTTACTTATGCTTCTCAACCCGCTACAACAAGTGGTTAGTATATGTATCACCTGCTTTAACTACTAAAAAGCTTTGCATTCCCCCCCCCCACAGTCTATATATATTCGTGTGATTAGTCCCGTAAATAGCATTAGCTGTTGGCGTTTCTATGCCACGCTAAATTTTTAGACTACTTATATCAACTTCAGGATTCAAACAGACAATTTTACTTTAGTATTTGGTATGCAACACGCGTTACAAAGAAAGACTATAAATAAAATATTTTCCTCAATTGACAAATGTCATCTGCTATACAGGGTGTTGCACGGGTCACTTTGCTGACAGATCTGTCTGTTAATTCATTTCTAATGAGAGCGTCCGATTTTCACTCTGATTTCTTTAAATAAACTTATTTAAATAATGAAGTTGCTTATTTATTATAACCGTCATGTTCGCGCCGCATAGTGATCGCTTGATGCACTAAGCCTCATTGTGTGATATATTTTCCTGTTAGTTAAGCTGGATGTTGTACGTGGCTATGGCAATCTGCAACAATTTTCAAGACAAGATACTGCATCATCATCCTCTAAGCCACACGAAGCGGTTTAGATGCGATTTACTCCAATCTCTTTCATTCGTGTTGTGAGCGAGATTTACAGGCCCATAACTGTCGAGAGGGGGGGCTCTTCGTCGTAGTCCAAATATTCCTGATTGAACCCCATTTCATGCTTTTTAGCAGCAAAATATACGACCTGGAGAACTGGTTCTTAACCGGTGGGTGGCGCCCCTCAGCGGGTCACACATCTGTACATCCGCCTTTTCTCAGTCATGTCATCTGAAACGGCGTGTGCGAAGCATCTTGTAAAAGGGACTCGGGCACAGCCGCGATTGGACGTGACCCCCTGAGAAGCACTAACGCTGAGAGACAGAATATGTTAAGTGGCCCACCAATTGTTGCAGCCCTTACTTCACCCAGACACGAGTTCGCGTGCCGGCCTGCTGTTCTGGAGTCGGAGTTTTTAGTCCTGCGCATTAAGTTCATGGAATGTATGCGCGTGCGCGAACTGTGGGTGCTGCTTTTAAATTCACTGCAGACTCAACGTGTGTTGAATTATAATGTATCGGTGTCGTGACTTGGCTGTGACGTGGGCGATAAGTGTTTACCGAAGCAGCGGTCTGCAGGCTCCACCGGTCTCAGTGAACGGTAGTCCTTATGTACCGCCTGCTTTAAACATTAGAGATCCCTGTTAACTTACCTAATGAATGCGAAGGTAAGATGCAAATTTGTCCCTGCGCTAAACTGAACATCACGATATGAGGACGTTTCGGGGGGGAGGGGTGGTAGAGATACAGTGTTTGTTAACGTTTACGCTAGATGGAGGTGATTGGTCGACTTCACGCCCAGGCCACTTTACAACCCTCCCCGGACAAGACCCCACGGTGCCCTTTCGATAACAGGTTGGGTGGACCTAGGAGCCGTTTGGGTATTGTGGAGAAGAGAAAAATCGAAAAATACAGGTTTATCGGTTGCAACGACACGTAATTCGGAAAAATGTAGGTATTTCGGAAGAATATATCAGGTTCAATGTCAAGGTCGAAGAGTAAGTCGAACAAGAAAACAGCGAAAAACAGGTGTCAAAAAAGAGAAATCTCTTGTCCCTGCGGAATAGAACCCAGAAGCCACGGCTTTCCAGCCCGCCCCTCTACTGGGTGTATTTATATGTTCCGTATGTGATCCTAAGAGGCACAGGAACAGTTTTGTCCTTTACCTTACCTCCACTCCCGAGGCAGCAATTTCTGCCTGACCAACCTTTACGGTAACTGCAAACATGCCAACTTGAATTAATTTCATATGGGATTCGTGTTATGTACAGTCCTAATGTACTCTCCTGAGAATACGGAAGTACTCGTAGTTGTATTTCAGTATTCTAGGCACACTGT